TCTCTGTCTGTCTGTCTCTGCCTGTCTGCCTCTCTCTGCCTGTCTCTGTCTGTCTGTCTCTGCCTGTCTGTGGTCACCTTTCGGACAGTGACTGGTTCTCGACTTCAGTCCTCGAGGTTCCACAGCCACTGACAGGAAATGACAAACTTTTAGGAAAACCAGCTCAGCTTCCTGCTTCCTGCTTCCTGCTGGACAGGTGAGCGTCTGACAGATGTTTTCCTCCAAACACTGAATTAAAGACAGAAACAGCTGGATCGTGTTTGTGAAGCAGCTGAACCTGATGGAGGTTTCAGCCCGGGGGCAGGGCGGCTTCTACTGCTGACTCACCTGAGACCGGACCACGGGCCTGAGGGGGGACAGAGACACATCAGACAGAAGGCTCAGAGGGAGACTCCTCACCCTGCAGCTCCAGTTTCAGCAGCACACGAACACAACGGGCTCAGATTTAAACAGGACCCGTTTCAGAACGCCTCAGGTCCAAACAGAACCTGGCTGGGACACGGAGACGTCTCACGTTGCCCCAAAAGTCCCCACCTGAGACAAAAACATTCGTCAGAGTTCTGCGTGTGAAAGGGGATCCACAGAGCGAGAACAATCAGAACCGGGCCTGCCTCGGGTCTGAAGGCCCACCAGCACCAGACTGTGATTTTGTTTTGCAGACGTGGAAACATGTCGGAGTAAAGATGGAGGAAAAGTGGGTGAAGACGCCCACCTGCTGGCCACCAGCAGGAATGAACCCAGTCCAGAACCAGAACCAGAACCTGAGCAACACATTTGGGATCTCTGCGGGGTCCCTGGACGTTAGTTTTGTAGATGTGCTATGAGATTATTTTGCTAACAGACAGCGTTGACTCCAAACAGTTCAACAACGTGTGCGCTCTGAGCATGTGCTGAGGACGACTCTCAGCTACTACCACACCTGGTTTTAGCTCATGTTTGTTGGAGTTTGATGCTCAACCTCCACGTCCTCCTCAGGTCACCGCTTCAGATGTTGTCATCCATAAATGGACGTTAGTTGTTGTCATCCAATACGTAGGGTTAACACTGCCCTCCTCTACCTCCTGGTAGGTTTTAAAGGTACGTTATCATCGCTGATAAGACGGGCACGTGGTGAGCTGAGGCCAAACAGACAGAACCCAGGCCCGACCCGGGAATCAAACCCAGGACCTCCTGCAGAACTGCCGTCGTGTCGCCCTGCAGCTGCTAAAACTGATCACTTCTGCTGTTAGAGACAAAAGAGCCGGTCTGAACGGTGTCACATCCTGGGCCTGTCCTCGTCCCTCTGAACCGGGTCGTCTTGTCCTCTGCGACACGAGTCAGAACCTTCAGTTTACACCCGAGGTCCGTTTCCTGTTTCATCACCTGCTGCTTTATTCTGATCAGAGATCCAGAAATTTAAAAAATCAACTTTAAATCCTGAAAGTTGTTCTCTGATGGAGTTTAAGAGTTTGACCCGTTCAGATTGTGTCCCTCTGATCCGGATCAGTTCCAGACCACACTCTCGTTATTCATTATCAGGATGAAGTGGATTAAAGTAGTTTGTATTTAGACTGAACTGGATGAAGTTGGATTAAAAAATGACCCTTACACATTTAGATTATTTCAGCTCATATTTAAATACAGATGGAATATAATTAATTTGAATAAACTACATTAAAACAAACAGAAACGAGTGGCTCCAGGATAAATCAGAATAATTACTGGATTAAATCTGATTAGATTGGACTGAATGTATTTAAACTGATTTTTTATTTTTGTGGATTCATTCAGTTTTAAATAATTTTCAGTTATTTGAATTAATTTACTTTATAATAGATTTGAGTTAAACGTTTCTTTCTAAATTTAATTGGGACTGTGAAATAATAAACGGATGCGACAGCAGCCCCTTGACTCAGAATATAACCTTTAAATAAAGGAAGTTTTATTTTAAATAAAACGTTATGTTTCAAATCAGGTAAATAAATAAATGCATGGGATGTATCTGGATGATATTAATATAAGGAATTGTCGGGGTTGCTAAGCAACCACAATTTTTTTTTTTTGGCAGCAGTTTACCGGATATTTACGTCGTTAGCGTAAATTAGCCACTAGCTAATTTAGAGTAAGCATAAGTTAGCTAGAGGGGCGTAAGGTAACTATCAATATTTAAGTTTATATATTTATTAATGTCGAAAGTCTGAACGTTTACTTGTCATGGTTAAGTTTTGTAATATGTTTTTTAATTATGAGATTCGTGAACATATTTCCGCTTGTGCGCCGTTCCTCCATTGCCATTCACAGAGCGAGTTACGTCAGCGCAGATGTTCCACCGTAAGCCTCCAGTCAGGAGCTCCCGGCCCTTTAAGAGGCGCGCACCGGGCCGGCCGGTGTGACGAGCGGACCGTCCTGCCAGCCGCCGCCGTCCCCATCATGGAGCCGACACCACCGAGGACGAACCGACCAGCCAGCGGCCCAGTTCTTCCCGCAGCAGAGACGGACGTGAAGCCGAAGCAGCGGCACCGGTAGAGGCGAGCCGCCCTGCGCCGCAGCACCCCGCCTCCCCCCGGTCTCCTCCATGCCTTCGTCCAGGGCCAAGGACGACTATTCGGTAAAGAGGGGTCCAAACCCGGGCAGCGGAGACATGAGCGTCAGTCTGTCGGTCCAGCAGGTGCTGAGCCTCTGGGTGACGGGCTCGGCCCTGCAGCACTTCACAGGTGTGTAGCAGGACAGGTGTCTGATGAACCGAACCCCCCATGGGTACCGGTACCACCAGGGGCGACTCTAGAATCTGACCTTTAGGGGTGCTCAGCCCCCAGTGCTAATGGCTCTTGACCTGAACAACTGGTGGCCATTGGCGTCAGAAGCATTCATAATGTGGGGGGGACACTGGGGGGGGGGGGGTGTAACGGGTTGTTACCTCCATAATTAAACACTTCATTCAAAAACTATTTTAGAGAAAAAGACACAAGAAGAAGTAGCGCTAAGCTAGCAGCTGCAACACAGTGCTAGCTAAGATGCTACAGACGTAGCTCTGCTGTAAATTAAACAAAATAATAAACGATTTGTACAAAATCAGTTTATTGTTAACTGATCAGAACAAACAAAGACTAAACTCATGCAACCAGAAGTTACAAAACAAACACAACTAGCTTCAAGCATTTAGTTTAATCATTAATCAAAGTAATGATCAGCGAACGGAGGATTTACCTGCAGCGACCTTTGTACAGATGAACCTGCACTTCCTGTTTGTCACAGCTGGATCCAGCTGCTCATGATGTCACAACTTCATTCTTCTTCATCTGTCCAGACTCAGATCAGGGTTTGGAAACTGAATGAGAGTATTCCACCCAGAGCTGCAGCTCGGGAGCCACAGTTACTGAGAGCAGCAGCTCAGGGGCCACAGTTACTGAGAGCAGCAGCTCAGGGGCCACAGTTACTGAGAGCAGCAG